TTTATTTCTTGTTAACTAAATAAACTCTAATAAACAGCGTGTCAAGTTGATTAGATTTAAGTCATAGCTATTGCCTCCCTGACTTCAAATCATAGTTAACTTATTCGACGGAAAGAGTAATGTTAACAAGTGGTAATTCCTGCCAGGATACTATTGACTTTATACATAACAGACCACTAACAGATATAGTGAGATATATAAAAGTTTGAGAAAAGAGAACTGAGAAACAGAGATAATTTTATACATAACAAACCGCTGACGAAATAGCGAGGTATATGAATTTTAAAGCAATTAAAAGAAATACAGTAGAATATATCATGAGACATTATTCAAATTTCCCCCTAAACGAAGACTATACTTGCAATTAGTGTCATCCACCCCTTATTTAATACACTTTCTAATAATTTTCAAAATTTTTGGAATTGGTTTCACTTTGAATATCATGCTAAAACTTACACAGCAAGATCAGTTGTTGCTTTTAATCTATTTGAACAATTAAGTAACATCCCAGTATCAAAACATCATAATAGCCGATTAACTAAAATAATCTATCAGTTGCTTTCTAGTCTCAGATATAGGACTATACCTTTTTCATCAGACGTGATATATTTGTATGTCTAAGGTGTTTCTTTTGAAACAAACTGCTTTCAACAACCTGTTGATCAATCCATTTCATTAAAAGTATACATAAAAATCCTTAACCAGGATTTAATACAAATTCAAAAAGACCAACAATTACTTCGACAACTAATTGCTTCTCCAGTACCCTTTGCAACTAGTTTATCAACTACCCCAGTTACCACCCTTCACCAGAAGCAATAATGGCAGCTACTGGTGAACAAATAAGATTAGCTCTCAAAGGAATTTTTGGAGTAGATGGAGCTCGGTTAAATGCATTAAGACAGGCTGAACGAACTACAGCAAAGGTTGATTACTTTTGTGACACTGAAGCTGAAGATCCAGTAGAGTGGCTTGCTGCTTTTGAAAAAGCCACCACTATTAACCGATGGATTAATGCTGCAAGAAAGAAGGTCATAGCTGGAGGATACTTGAAAGGAACCGCAGCAGATTGGTTTGAAGAAAATGCCGCGACTATGGGAGACAATTGGACCACAACCTCAAATGGCGGAAATAATTTTGTAGACATGTTTAACACCCGATTTATCAACGAAACCTGAAAAAATCAATGGTACCAAGAGTTAACTTCCCTACGATAACATTTAGATGAATCAGTGGATTCTTACATCAATAAATTCCGAAAACTGGTAAAAAGAGTGGGTTTGACTGATAATGCTCAACAAAAACGAATGTTCCTTATGGGATTAAACCCAGCATATACCCCAATGGTATATGCACAAAACCCGAACGATTTGACCGCCACAGTAAATGCTGCTAGGAACATCAAAATTGGTTATAATTTCACCACAGAAAAAGCTCCAAGGGATACTAGTGTAATGCCTTTCACCTCCACCTTTGCTCCATCGAAACCCGTCCCAGTTGTTAGTACTGAAATAGATGAACTCACAAAAAAATTGGAATAACTTACCATAAATTACGCCAATTTATCCTCCGCGATGCTAGCTCAACCACAGGCTCTGAGAAGAAGAAACAGACCCAATGAAACTAGTTATAGGCCTCAAAACATCAGACCAAATACAAATACTTACCGATCTCAAAATACCAGACCTAATGATTTTACCTGTTACAACTGTAATGCTTCAGGACATATGGTGAGAAATTATACCCAGCCGCAACAGTATCATCAAGATAATCGCAGATCCCGATTTAACGAAACTAGGAAAATGCATTTGGCTGACCAATATACTGATGAAGAATACGTTAATTATGATTACGAAATGGACAAAAATGAAGAATACGAAGTTTACCTGAATACCCGATCAAGACCGTATCCTGATAATTCAACGTCGAAGAATCGAAGAATCAAACGTGTGGAATCAAAAAAGGAAGAAAACCTTAGAAGGTTTCCTAAACCAACAGTTATGCCGAATCTCATTGAAGAATTCGTGTAAACAGATTCCACCCCAATGCAAATCGAAGTCCTGAATAATCCTAAGAATGTCAAAAGGAGATTAATGCCAGCCCTGATTGAGCAATTAATGGAGTTTAATGTCGCTACTTACCTCCAGAATCTTCCATACGGATTATCAGTTAGACAAGCCGTTCACGCTATACCTAATTATCGTTCCGGTTTAGCCAGAGCTGTAAGGAGATCTAGGAAAAAAGCTTCCAAAGAATCCAAAGAAGCCAATTTAGTTGAAAGCGATGATGAGCCTACTTCTGTAGCTAAATGTACTCTACGAATTGGAAAGAAAGCCCAAACCGCAATAATCGATAGCGGCACAGCTACGAGCATAATTACGAAAGCCCTGCTGGACAGACTGGGTTATGATATTGACAGGGCTTCGAAAATGATTGTTGTCACGGCAAATGGAGCCAGAACTCGCTCCTTAGAGATCGTAGATAACGTTTCGGTAGTAATAGAAAGAATCGAAATTCTAACCTCTTTTCAAGTCTTGGAATCTCAGGATGAAATTTTAATCCTGGGAAATGATTGGCTTAGAAACTCAAACGTTAATATGGACTGGGAAAAATCTACTTTAACTATTAGAAAAAATCAAACTACGATTTGGATTCCGATTACCTTCACGAAAACCTCGAAAGTTGTAACTCACGATGAATTAGACGAAGTCTCGGAAGAAGATTATAAAGAAGAATATCTCAAAGAAATGCCGATTTATTTCTCTGACTCCTCTGAAGAAGACTTGGCCAATCAGAGTAAGCTGGAATTTAACCCATGGATAAATTTCTACTCTTCAGAAAGTTCTGAAGCTGAAACTGACGATGACGATAATACCGACTTGATAAACGTCGACAAAAATCTAGCTGTATTCTTAGTTGAAATCGTTCAAGACGAGTCTGTACCTATAAACCAAACTGGACCTCTCGATCATCATCAACAAGGACTATTTCAAGTTCTTCTAAATGATCATTCCGATATTTGTGCTAAGAGTCAAACTAAGATCAGAAGAATGAACTTAATAAAACATAGGATTTTAACCAGCGATGCTGCGCCTATCGCACAAACTCCGCATCGAACTAATCCGAAGAACCGAGAATTCCTTAAGAACGAAATAATAAAAATGGAGGAACAAGGAATAGTCCAAAAATCCTCAAGTCCTTAGGCTTCACCTGTAGTAATTGTAGATAAGAAAGGCAGTGACAAAAGAATTTGCATAGACTATTGCAAATTAAATGCTATTACCAAAGCCGACGCCTATCCTTTATCTCGAATTGACAATCTATTAGAAAGTTTTGGAGTCGCCCAATGGTTTACTACATTGGACTTGGCAAGTGGATACTGGCAAGTAGCTATGGATGAAGCGAATATAGAAAAAACGGCATTTATAACACCTTTCGGATTATACAAATTTTTAGTAATGCCTTTTGGACTAAGCTATGCCTCTGGAACGTTTCAAAGATTAATGAATAAAGTCTTACAAGACTTTCTCGGAGACTTCGTCGCTATATATTTAGATGATGTCATAATCTATTCAAAAGGAAGCTTCGAAATGCATATGGACCATATATGCCAAGTATTTCAAGCTATTCAGAATGCAAACTTAAAAATCAAGTTAAAGAAATGTTATTTTTGTTTACCCAATATCCACTTTTTAGGACATGTGGTAGGATGAAACAGAATTCGCCTAGACCCAGAAAAAATAATTAAGGTCAAGAATTTTTCAAAACTGACGAACTTGACGTAACTTCGTGCCGCACTAGGGTTATTTTCATATTATCGCAAGTTTATAAAGGATTTTTCAAGGATTGCTCGACCCATGCTTACCCTACTAAAAAAGGATGAAACTTTCCTGTAGGGAGATAAACAACAAATAGCATTTGATCGATTAAAAGAAATGCTAATCAAAGCTCTGATCTTAAGTTACCCCGATTTTAATAGACCTTTTATTATCTACATGGACGCATCTGGGATAGGTCTAGGAGCTGTTTTCTCTCAAGAACAATCAGATGGAAAAGAGCATGTTATTGCCTATGCAAGTCAGAGTTTGAACTCAGCCGAGAAAAACTATACTATAACCGATCAAGAATGCCTAGCAGTGATATGGGCCATAAGGCACTTTCAACATTATTTAGGCATGAAACCTTTCATACTTGTAACCGACCATTCAGCTCTAAAATGGCTACAAACCTCTAAATTACCTAAAGGTCGAAAAGCAAGATGGGTAATAGAGTTACAACAATATGAATTTACTATTAAACATAGACCTGGAAAGGCTAATGCAAATGCTGATGCACTATTGTGAATACCAGATGAAACGGAAGTCTTTTTCTTAAATTTTGAATCAGATATAGAAATTGGCTATAATTCCTTTATCGAAAATAACTACACCACAGACAATCCATCTTATTCAGAGGAAAATGATGAATATGAGACTGAATGGTTTATTTCAAATTCTTTACATAGTCAGGACCAAATATTAGAAGATGAACTTCTTGATGATTGGTTTAAGCCAGTAATTACAACTGTAGGATATCAATCCCCACCTGAAGAAATGCAGGATATATTTAAAACAAACATAAAAGTTAAACAAGTGTTAGCAGGACAACCCATAACTAGTGGAGGATCTAGATGCAATTATTCCTGCGATATAGAGAACTATCACTTGCATACCTACTGTAAAGCTTGTAAGACAAACTTACCCTACAACACTGTTGAACACGAATGTGTAATTGGATACAAATTAGGTCAAATCCAACCAGACATGGACCCAAGATATTTGGATAATCAAGTATGGTGGGATGAATCGATAGAAGTTAAAGCCCTGTCATTAGAAACCCAAATGCAAGTATTATATAGAACACTTCAAGGACTCCCCTTTTATCCCACTTCTCTTGAACACCTTCAACCTGAATTTCCTGAACTAGATTAAATATTTTTTTTCTTTATTATTTTTTTTTGGGTGAAAGCGAAAGTGTATGCAGTGTGATATACAGCCCATCATGGATATCTACCAATATAATCGCATTTATTCTTATCTTACACAACAAATTATCCCCACAGAATTAATAACCCCCAAATCTATCAAACAATTTAAAAATTTTTGCATACCTTACATAGTTCAAAATAATTATCTATACAGAAATGACAAAAGAAACCCTGGAAAACTATTAAGGGTAATTAGATCTCATGAAATGGAAGCTATTTTATATATGATGCATAATGATCCAACAGCTGGACATTTTGCTACTGATATTATGTTTGACAAAATTAGAAAAAGATATTATTGGTCTCAAATGTATGAAAATATTCGTGCATATGTTAAAAGTTGTGACAAATGTCAAAGAAGAGGAAAACCCAGTAAACATGAATATTTACATCCAATTGCAATACAAGCACCTTTCTATCAAATCGGAATTGATTTTGTAGGACCTCTACCTATAACAGACCAAGGAAATAAGCATATTATAGTAACCATTGATTATTTTACTAAGTGGCCAGAAGCAAAGGCTGTACCTGAAGCAACTGCTTCTCAAGTAGTCCAATTTATTTATGAAGAAATTATTTGCAGACATGGATGCCCAATGAAGATATTAACAGACAGAGGAACCCATTTTAATAATCAAATGGTAAATGAATTGATGAATAAATTTAAGATAAAACATCTTCTATCCACTCCTTACTATCCTCAAACCAATGGCCTAGTGGAAAGATTTAATAAAACTCTATGTGAGTCTTTAGCTAAAACTGCTCAAGAAATTTCAAATTGGGATTTGCAAATTGCACCTACTCTATTTGCATATCGAACTTCTAAACAATTTACAACCAAAATATCTCCTTTCTACTTAACATATGGGAGAGATGAACGATTGCCCCTTGATGAACCAATTGAAGAAAATGTGACTCTCAATCAACATATAGAATCTTTAATAGATGATTTACTGCAAATCAGGGGTAAAGCTAAAAACCATATGGAAAAATCACAAGTAAATCAGAAAGATCGACATGATTGTAACTTAAAGAAGATCTTTCATTTTAAAATAGGGAATAAAGTTTTGTATTATCATGCGGCAAAAGAAAAGCAGTGGTCTGGAAAACTAGAACCAAAATGGAGAGGACCATATTACATTCATCAAACTTTGTTAAATGGATCTTACAAAATAAGAGAAATGAATGGAAAAGTTTTACAAACACCTGTTAATGGAGATCTTTTAA